GTCCCCGAGGGTCCGACAGCCGCACATCGCGGCCCCTCCCGGGCTCTCCCTCCCTTCTCCAGAGTGGAGTCGGGCGGTGCAGTGCCAATGGGTCCGACGCCGCCATCGCGCCACCGCCCGGTCCGAGCGGACGTGACCCAACCCGGGGTCCGCGACCCGCTCCCGGACTCTCGCTCCCCTATTCAGAGCAGCCGGGGTGAACCGTCAGATCGGTCCGTGCCGACGTCCCCAGACGGGTGTGACGCCCGCACACCGCGGGTCGCCCCACCGTTAAACTGCTCCACCACGGCAGGTCAAGCACGGTCGCCAGCAATCTCATCATGCCCTGACCTATGCGGCTTGGAGGTGCCATGACCAGGTTCGAGGGGTTGACGTGGAGTGAGCACGTGGCCGTGGTGTGCGTCGTGCGAGAGAGCCAGGAATGAGAGGACCAGCAGTAATTGGCCCGCTGCCAAAGATCACATGCCCGACACTTACGGCTATGATCTTTATGTTCGACATGCGTGCTTGACTTCACTTCACACGAATCGAACTATTCGACAGCCATGTATAGAACCAACAGCTATAGATAGCTATGGCTATGACAAATATATAGCTAGCAACATAGCTATGGGATCTATAGCTGTATTGTTAGCTGATATATCTCATATATCAGTCTAATCTAATATATATATATATATATATATATATATATATATATATATATATAATGTATAAGATATGCATCCTAATATCTAATAACCTAATATAAGATATATCTAATATCTCATACATTAGATATCAGATATATACATATGGCTAGCAATATAGCTATACGATCTATAGCCAAACACAAACGCAAGCCGAACCATGACTCGCATCAAGCTCGCCTTTGCAAAGCGTGATAAGACTGGCCATCAAGGCTTTTGCTGATTACAATCCCGAATTACACAAAACAGTTCACAACTGGAAACCAATAAACACGATTCGGAACCAAACACATGCCGCCCGTAGGTTCGGGTCGTTACGGATGACAGGGAAAACGGGAAAACGGGAAATATTATAACGGGAAAATGTCAAAATGTCTTCCAATCCGCGTGGTAGCTGCACGGAAAAAGCTTCAAACATTCAGAAATCTCCGAAATGGAAGATTCGATGAGCGGCACACCTCCTAGAAATACAGCTATTGAGACATTTCGGTAATTTAGCTCGCATCTGGGCTATTTAGCACCGTATGGGTGTAGGGTAGGTGTCCGTAGTGAGGCCTAGGGATTTGAGTCACGCCGACACCGCCGCCGTCAGCACCGACGCCAGCACTCCGTCAGCGCCGACGACAGCGCTCCGTCAGTGCCAACGATAGCGCTCCGTCAGCGCCGACGCCAGCGCTCCGTCAGCGCCGACGCCAGCGCTCCGTCAGCGCCGACGACAGCGCTCCGTCAGCGCCGACGCCAGCGCTCCGTCAGCGCCGACGACAGCGCTCCGACAGCGCTCCGTCAGCGCTGACGACAGCGCTCCTTCAGCGCCGACGACAGCGCTCCGACAGCGCTCCGTCAGTGCCGACGACAGCGCTGCGCCAGCGCCGACAGCGCCGACGACAGCGCTCCGTCAGCAACGACTCGCACCTCACCGCCGTATTCCTCTACCAGCCGCGACTGCGACCTGACCACAGGTCCACCTGCGCTCCTGCCTCTCCGGCCGAGCGCCCGCCCGTCACTAACCGATGCAGGAGTGCTTCAGCGTCAGCTGGGTGAGACCGTCCTTCAGGTGTCGGCCCACGTTGGTAGCCGCCGTCATCAGCTGCTCGTTCCGCATCACCTCCAGCACCGCCAGACCCACCGTGCACGACACGGGGTTACCACCGAACTGGAAGGAGGGGAAGGTAGACAGTGTTACCGGTGGGCTGGGAGTCAGACTGGATTCACGCCAATTGTTCGGGACACAATGCAGTCAATAACGTCACGCGCAGTACGCACAGATGCCTCAAGCATGCACTAGATCTGACTTCCTGCGAAACGCCCATAAAGAGAGCGTGATGGCCCAATGAACATATCGAGCTCTCCATCTGACTGCTGAATGGAAACGTATGAATGCAACGGTACGCATTCATCTTCCCGATTGACGTTTGTGTTTTTGCAGGCAGCAAAACCAGCACGACCCATAAATACGGTATGACCTAATTATTTGATCCACTCTGGGAGCTCCAACAGAGCTACGCGGATACATCGGGGTCTTGTCCTCAAAATTGTGAGAAACTCCTCTCGCATGGTTTGCATGGGTCGTTTTGGGTTCCTAATGACTAATTATTCAGGCTTAATGGGTGCGCATGGCTGCACGGCGTCCATGCGGTTTGTGCAGAACACTCGCCACGCGGAATTTGCCGCGTGCACCCCGAAAAAGATAGTCCTGGATCAGCCCCATTCATTGGGCAATTTTCCGGTTCATCGGCTCTGGAACTCCTACCCCGTGCTGCTACATGACGAACCTAGAGCCATCCATAGACGATATAAGCGGCAATAACAGAGGAATGACCGGTAACCACACAAATGTGACGTGTTTGTGTCCGTAACAGCCATGAGCGAAGCACGTGCTGACGTACGCTGAACCCAGGCGGGAGCTGCTCATAACGTAGCCATCACGACACTGCACTGAACTGAGCCTACACGGGATCTGCCCATAACGCAGCCATCACGACACTGCACTGAATTGAACCTATACGGGATCTGCCCATAACGCAGCCATCACGACACTGCACTGAACTGAGCCCACGCAGGAGCTACTCATAACGCAGCCATCACAATACTGTTCTGAACTGAGTCCATACAGGATCTGCCCATAACGCAGCCATCACGACACTGCACTAAACTGAGCCCGCACAGGATCTGCTCCTAACGCGGCCACCACGACACTGCACTGAATCACGTATAGAATTCAGGTATAGAAAAATAACATGACCTGTTTCCAGCGAACATCTTGCCTTGAATTTTGACGTACTTCGGTCACACAGCTACAATGACGTGACAAGGCGTGTTAGCGTTTAGTAACTTAAAGGAAGTGAACCACTTTGGGGCGTATCTTAAAAGCACACCTTAGTGACACCTCAGGACCAGCCATGTCTAATAATTTCACTGCGGAGCGTCGCTGCAGCACCAACAAGATATAATCAACAAATGAACTTCAATTTCATTTGTCCAAATGATGTGGTCACCATTTCAGCTCAACAAATGAACTTCAATTTTATTTGTCCAAATGATGTGGTCACCATTTCAGCTCAGCACCAAAGTTCTGTCTTTGCAGCCCAAGGTTACATATCTGGCATGGACGACCTTGGCACACATATTTAAATACTTAATTTTAGCCTATCGGAGTGAGCGCGAAGGTCCGTGCCGATTTTGTGTAAAAATGGCATGAAAATTGCCGTATTCGGGGACAATCTACCTGCGAGCAAAACAACATCCCGCGGTGCACATGAAGCGTGGTGGTCGGAATGTGTACTCCTTCGTTTTTTTGGTATGAGTGATGTCAGAAATGCACGTCTGTGGTTAGTAGCACAGCGGGCGGCGTAAGCCATTTAGCGAGTGGGAGGGGGGGGGGGGGGCATGGGTAGAAAAAAGTTTGAACGTGTACGACGTAACCAGAAAACTGGTATGTCGATGATTTAAAATGGGATTCCAATATAATTGATGAATTTATAGTTGCTACAAAATCAGGAGGCTGTCAGAGTAACTAACGACTGGGCGACGACGAAACTTGTACCGAGCAGCAAACACGGCCCTACAGCGTGAATCAGTAGCCGTCCATAACCCGATCCACGGCCAACAACAACACCGCCGGATTGCGGTGGAGTCGCAGCCGCTCATGCTCTCGGCGATATCGACTCAGTAGCCGCCCATAACTCGACCGGTGGTCGATAGGGGCCAATCGCCACTGGCTCACCGTGGAGTAGTAGTCGCTCATACAGTCGGCGATGTCGCGGCGGGTGACCACGGCCGACATGGGATGACCGTTCCCCAGAGTCTTTCCCAGCGTCAGGATATCCGGCACTACGCCGTACGACTGCCCACAGACACAAAAAACCGGTCGGTTATGGCGACCACATTGCAGTGCGGTACGGCTGGACAAGGTCAGGACAAGGCCGCAAACCACAGCATCGTTACCATGGCCCGGCGGACGCGACGTATGGACAAGGCAGTCGTGGAACAATTGGAGATTAGATCACCACATGCCGCAGGGAGTTCTACGATTGCTGGCGCAGACATTTGTCTCCTAACGACACTTATCAAACATCTACTGGCCTAATAGCAAAGACATGCGCCACCAACGGCAGTAGGACGGCGGGACGGGAGACGGGGGACGCTGGACGGCGATACGGCGATACGGTGATACGGTGAGACGGTGAGACGGTGATACGGTGAGACGGTGAGACAGTGGGGCGGCGGGACAGTGGGACGCTGGGACGCTGGGAAGGTGGGACGCTGGGACAAGGGAAGGTGAGATAGAGGGACGATGGGACGGAGGGACGGAGGAACGGCCGGAAAAAGTGACGGTGGGACGGTGAGGACAGTGGGACGGGGGGACGGTGGGACGGCGGGGCGGTGGGGAGGTGGCGCGGCGGGACGGCGGGGCGGTGGGACGAAGAGAAGGTGGGAGGGTAGTACGGACAGAAGGCGGACGGAGGGGGAGTGGGACGGAGGGACGGTGGGACGACTTCAAGGCGGCACGGTGGGACGCGGGACGAAGGGACGGAGGGGTGGCGGGACGTGGGTCGTTGAGCGGCAGGACGGCGGGACGAGACAGGGGTATGACTCACTTCGAAAGCCCACGTGTGCGTGCCTATCCGCCCGAGGGCGGTCTGGACCTCGTCCATGATGCAGACACCGCCCCGAGATCGCACCAGGCTGGAACGGACGGACGCCACTCAACACCAGCGGCCGCCGGTCCGCCGACTCAACAGCGCACGCACGCTCAGCCAGTGGCAGGACAGAGCTGCACCGCCCGTCAGACAGGGGTACGACAGAGACGGCTACCAAGTCGGCGAACCAGCGGCGGGCCAGAGCCGCGCGGTCAGACGGCCAGTGGACAGACAAGGCCGTGCGCTGTGTCAGGGCAGAGCCGATGGAGAGGTCAGGTGACCAGCGGACAGACACGGCCGCGGCTGCGACGGGGCAGAGCCGCACGGTCAGACGGCCAGAAGCCAGACACGGCCGTGCGCTGTGACGCTCAGCAACCATGGGCGTCGCTTATTTCACCGCTGGACTTGCCACGGACACCCACTCCATTCAACACAACACAAGCGGTCTTCACTTCCAAGCGGCATCAGACGGTGCGTGATCAACCGATGATCCCCCCAGGCGACATCAGCTGACAGGCAAATCCGTCAAACTTGGGGGCAACGCGTGGGTTGACGACTGTGCCAAGCGGACATAGGGCCGTCGGTGGTGCCCGTCCGCCAGGCTGCGTGATCGCCTGCGACCCCCTGCAGCGGACCGCTCCGGCGTCGCAGTTTCCAGCGCCGCTCCGCGCGGGGGACGGCCACTAGCCGTCCATAACCGCACCTGTACACCTTGCTGAAGTAGTCTGACGGCGGCACGACCATGCCGCAGCTGGTGATGATGCACTCGGAGACGAAGGCGGCCACTGAGCGGCCTCGGGCCTGCGCCGTGTCCAGCAGCCGCTCCACGTGTGCTGCGTACTTGGCGCCTGCGAAGGGGCGCCGCTGGTGATAACGGGGCCGGCTGCTCGCGCGAGATCATGCCCAGACACAAGCCAGCCCTGACGAAGGGGCGCCGCTGACGGTGGCGGGAGCCGGGTGCGGACCGCGGCTGCTTGCGCGGGATCATGCCCAGACACAGGTCAGTTCTGACGAAGGGGCGTCGCTGGCGGTAACGGGGGCCCGCTGCTCGCGCGAGATCATGCCCAGACACGGGTCAGCCCTGACGAAGGGGCGCCGCTGGCGGTAACGGGGGCCTGCTGCTCGCGCGAGATCATGCCCAGACACGGGTCAGCTCTGACGAAGGGGCGCCGCTGGCGGTGACGGGGGCCCGCTGCTCGCGCGAGATCATGCCCAGACACGGGTCAGCTCTGACGAAGGGGCGCCGCTGGCGGTGACGGGGGCCGGGTGCTGGCACAGGGTCATGTCCAGACGCAGGTCAGCCCTGCCAGGCGAAGCTGCCCGCCTGACCGAAAAGCTCAAGGCGCTATGCAGCGCAGGTCCGTCTGCTATCGGTTGTCTGGGACAGTTTGTTTTTCACTGGCCACAGACAGAGGAGCGGGAGCTGGGGAGGGGGGGGGGGGGGGGTAGGGTTAGGGTAGTTCTACGCCCATGCTTTTCGGCTTTTGTGTAGCTCTCCAATTTTCAAAATGACCCTCAAATTCTCAAACAGGTTAAAACGTAGTTTTCAGCTCCAGGGGAAAAGCTAAACACAACTGGCGGAGTGCGGTCCGAGTTCACCACACAAGTAGAGCGGCCCCGCGTCAAGGAAGATGTTGCCTCCAGAAATTTGGCCAAGCAGGACGGCATAGGGTCCTTCGCTGAGTCAGACGAGCCAATACACGCTGGGATCACGTACCAGCAGTGCTACCAAACGGCTTTCCCTGCCTGGTTCAGCCCGAGTCAGTTGACCTCTGTACATCATTATGCGTCGAGCCGCGTGCACGTTGCAGAGCTCCTGCCGAATGTCGCCAGAGCACGTGACCCAGCATCTATTCCCCGGACTGTGACGCCAGCGCGGGTTCGGTACCTGGCTGCGGCTCGGTACCTGTACTCCGTACCTGGCTGCGGCTCGTCCTCGCGGTACAGGCCGCGGTACGTGTCTGGCAGCGGCGCCACGTGCACGTACTCCTTCCGACTGCAGCGAGACCTGGCGAACAGCCTCGGGCTGATCTCGGCCACGCTGCCCACGTTGCCGTGGTACGCCCTGCGGTCAGGAAGGCTCGTCAGGGGAGCACACTGTCCACGTTACTGAAAACAAAAGCCGTAGAGATCACGGCCAGGCCTATGGATTGGCCGCCTATCAAAGTTCGTGCCTGTCACTGTCCGCGTCTGTCACTGTCCGCACCCTTCATTGTCCGTGTCCACTCCTGTCACCGTCCGCTCCTGCCACTGTCCGCTCCTGTCACTGTCCGCTCCTATCACTGTCCGCTCTGATCACTGTCCGCACCTGTCACTGTTCGCTTCAAGCACTGCCCACGCTAGACAATGTCCGCGTCTGTCGCTCCCCGCGTCTGTCACTATCCGCACCAATCACTTCCGCGCCTGTCACTGCCCGCGCCAGTCACTGCCCGCGCCTGCCCCTGTCCGCGCCTGCCCTTGTCTACGTCAGTCACTGTCTGCGTCAGCCGCCGCTGTCCAGTGAGCGCGGCCGGCAGCTGGCCGAAGACACCGCAGGGCGGCGCACTCACCCCTCCAGCACGACGACATCCTCCCGACGAGTGTAGCTGCGGGCCAGCCTCAGGGCCAGGTCGTTCGCCTCCGACCTGGAGGTCACCACACGTTGGTAAAGATAAGCCAAACGCCGGTATATGCAGCTGAACGCGTCAGTCTGAGGAACCGAATCCAATAATTTCCTTATGACTGAAATGATTGTCTTTGTGTGATGGAAAGGTTGTGAAAACAAGCGAAACGATTAGATTCATTACTGAAATATGGGTAAACGCCACAAAATGATCTTACTAAATGAAAATTACACATTGGCGCGCGGCTGGTGCCAGCTCACCGTTGAGCCCATCCATCACCATGAAAGGGTTCATGTACTCCGCCAGATCAAACAGGTCTGTTACGACAAGCCCATCAAGAACCATTACATCAAAGTCTGTTCTGTTCTGTTCAAAGTCTGTTCAACGTGCTCAGCACCGATCCAATTTCCCGCAGAATGAGAGTACTCCTATCCAACCTGACCCAACACAACCCAACAGCACTTCCCGACACGTTCACCCCGCGTTTGTCTCATGGTGCAGCTTGGCATTAGCGCCCGAACAAAACACGCCAGCGGGCCAAGGTAACAACACGGCCCCGTGTTCCACGTGCGTCATCCGCCGCTCGAGACGTCCGAGCACAGACGTCTCCAGCTGGGCGACCTCGCGGACGCCCACTTCCCCCCTCCCCCCCCCCCCCCCCCCGCTCCGCTCTGCGCGCAGTGTCACTTGGGTACGGCACGCCGTCAAGCCAATCCACCGAGCGGCGGACGCCAATCCACCGAGCGGCAGACGTCAATCCACCGGGGCGACGGACGTCAGTCCACCGGGCGACAGACGTCAATCCACCGGGCGGCCGACGTCAATCCACTCTGTTGTCGCTCTGTTATCTGGCGAGAGTTCGCCGCAGAACGATGGATGCGAGCGGGCAGCATCAGGTAAGCCGTAGGGGATGGCTGCATCACCGTCACCGAAACCCGAGGTCGGACTATGCGACAGGCCGGCTGCCTGCGTACGCCGCAACCCAGCATCGAGACAAGGGCGCTTCGGCCGTCGGATCCGACACTGTACAGCTCGCCGCAGGCCGAGCTGCTACCGCCGCCTGAGGCGACACCTGCCCGACGTGGTGTCCGCGCCGGACTGGCGTGCGTCTTCTAGACAGTGTTGAATGGATCATAACCTGTGTGCTACGGAGTGACCGCCGGTGGGTGTAGTCTGTGATAATTACATATGTCCTGTGTTGTATACTACGAGAGGCTACAATAGACGCAAGCCAATTGCGGATGGCTTTAATAATGTCTGTATATGTATCTAGATCTGTATCCGTATCTGTATTCATGCCTAGATATGGATCTGTATCGCTACACAACAGGGCGGTTCACGCACTCCAAAGAACCTAGCCTATTGTTTAGTGCTGCAAACATGTACCGTTCATACGAGAGCTGGCAGTTCGGACAGACACATTTAAAGCATTCAGCCTGTTGATGTCACCCTAATGATTCTCTATGCAGTTCGACACTGGAAGCATGCCGTGTTTACACGCCGGCGCCAGCGTGGTGAACGTCTGCATATCTGGTGACGTCCTCGAAATAGTTCAGGGTCCGGGGCGCATTTCCAGGTGTCCAGTTCAAACGTCGCCGTTTTCACCGTCTGTGAGCCCGGCTCGACAATAGCGCAGTGGCCGGTACGCTACCTTGGCTTGACAACATCGCCGGTCTGTCAGCCTGACTCGACAACATCACCATGGCCAATCTGTCCGCCTGGCTCGACAATATCGCCGTGGCCGGTCTGTCAGCCTGACTCGACAACGGCCTGTCTGTCAGCCTGACTCGACAACGGCCGGTCTGTCAGCCTGACTCGACGACGGCCTGTCTGTCAGCCTGACTCGACAACGGCCGGTCTGTCAGCTTGGCTCGACAGCGGCCGGTCTGTCGGCCTGGCTCGACAACGGCCGGTCTGTCAGCCTGACTCGACAGCGGCCAGTCTGTCAGCCTGACTCGACAGCGGCCGGTCTGTCGGCCTGACTCGACAACGGCCGGTCTGTCAGCCTGACTCGACAGTGGTCGTCCTGTCAGCCTGACTCGACAACGGCCGTTCTGTCAGCCTGACTCGACAGCAGCGCCGTAGCCGGTCTTTCAGCCTGGCTCGGCAAAGGCGCCGTGATTAGGTTATGATCAAGCATGCACACTGCAGCGTCCCACACCAACCCGCAGTTGCCACTGTGACTGGCCGTTGCCCTGGCACTGACCCGGAGTTGACGAGGTAGCAGACGCTCAGCTGCTCGGGCATCATGTCAGTCAGCTCCTTCAGGTACAGCGAGAGCGCGTCACACAGGAAGCCCTGGGCCCAGACTAGGCGCGCCATCTGTTGCTGACCGCGCGAAACCACGTGAGGGTGGCAGTGGCCCACTGTGGAGACATCAGGGCACGCTTAGACACCACGTGAGGGTGGCAGTGGCCCAATGAGGAGACGAACACAGGCATCACGTGAGGGCGGCAGTGGCCTACTGTGGAGACATCAGGGCGCACTTAGACACCACGCGAGGCTGGCAGTGGCCCACTGAGGAGACAAATACGGGCATCACGTGAGGATAACAGGAGCTCACCACACCTGGATCAGTATGAGGTGTGTGTGGGGAGAGCAGGGGGGGGGGGGGGGCACTGAGACAAAGCGTGAGGGGGTGACAGCGCTTCACGCGGGAGTTTGAATCAAACATCGCTGCCGGGCAATAGTGGCCCAATGCTGACCGATCGGCAACGGGGGAAGGCGACGTTGAGGCCTCCAGTGAGGGTGATGGCGGCCCATTGTGGACAGATGCATGAACAATGATAGTGCGGACAGCAGGTTACTGGCCATGCCGGCCGTGCTCACCCTGTAATTGTAATTTATGAGTAATTCTGCCGGCATCATACTCATGTCATATCATTGGGGCTTAACGACGCACCCAGCTGCTGAGACTACATGGCGTCGCCTGCCTCTCACCCTGGCAGGAAGGGCGGGTGCCGCGGGGAATCGAACCCCGTACCTCATACTCTATCATGCTCTATATCAAATACTATCATACTCTACCTGCATAATCGCAACACCTTCACTTTCACGGATCTGGGCTCATTTATTTGTCCCATGCTCTAAATATCCGATAGCATATAACAAGATGAAACTGGATGACGGCTCTGTAAATGCATCACGCAACGACTTATCACACCATTGCAAGGCCCCTCTGAAACAACTTATGTGCTTCAAAAAAGCCGATAACATCTAGGTCCCCAGGTGCCTCAATAACTCCCTTCTGGGGTCGCCGTTAGAAGAATCATGATCGTTTACGAAAACGTTGACGAAACGTTGAAATGTTGAAGAAATGTTCTAAAGGCAGACAGCTACGAAAGTTACCCAATTCTAGGACTTCTATCCCAACTTTCCATCCACAATTCAAACATTCTTACATCTCGTGTGCACACCGCTATATGGACATTGTGCCGAGACGGCCGCGCTCTCGCGAGTCCAAATCCCCGCTGCACGTGACTTGCACGTGCAGAGAACACATTCATCTCACGTGTTTCCCCATGCACGAATAGTGAGCCGCCCTCTAAAGCTATGGCTAAGCTTCACTTTTAAGCCGGGCTATCTGATTGAAACGGAGATTAGCAGGAACAGCGCTTAAATACACAGGCATGGTAATGAAAGCACACTCATGCAAAGGAAAACGTCAAACTGTGGCATCGCCTTGATAACTTTATGAGCATTAGAGCGCCACATGGTCCGCCTCTATCTTTAGCACAAGAGTCCCGAATGTAAACCATGATAGGCACTGATCAAATACGATTTTGATCGTCTTCGGCCCAGATTCAGAACGTCATCATTCCAGGACGTAATCAGACTTATGTCAGCCTCACGTCAAACTTATGTCAGGCATACCTTGCACGCCACGTTCCTTAATCCCCGCCACGTTGCTCTCAATGGCGCCTCTGGACCATTGGCACACCCGTCCAATAGCAACACCGGGCATTGCTGCACACGAACTGCTCGTTAATTCTGCACAATATCTCAGTCCTTGCCCCGCGAGTGGCCTCCACGGTAGTTGCCAACTGCCAAATGGCAGCTAGCTCACTTACAAGGTGCAGTACAAAAGTTAGTCCCGTTTAATCGTTGTGAAAGAATCATATGACATAGCGCGTGATATTGTTTTCTTCCTTTAAGTACAGCACAGCTAATGCTCCAAAAGTAAGCCTCGTTTAATCGGTGTAAAAGAATCATATGACGTATCGCGTGATCGTTTTTTAAGTACAGAACAGCTGATGCTCCTCCGACAGAGAAGACTCTCACACGATATCTTAGTTGGGTTGGGTGTCTCCGAGAGATACAATGCCATTTCGGGCTCTATTTACATCCTGCTCCAAGATTCGTTTTCGTGTCGACGCTAGTTTGCCGCGTTCAGTCACAACACGCATGACACCGGACAAGAAGAAGCCACGGAGGATTAATTCATTTAGAGCTTTGACTAGTTTATGGCAATGAACCTTTCCCCGAGTCAAAGGTGCGTAAGTGGGTGCGCGAGTTCGAGGAAGGAAGGGGGCAGGCGAGCGGGGCTTGCCACGCTCCGGGGGACCGGCGACGCCGACTGATCCAACCACGCGACGCCGGCGGAGGCCGTGATAATGGGAGTCCGTCGGTTGATACTCGACCAGATAGCTAAAACATCCGTATAACCAGGGGATCAGCCCGTCGTGCCATCCATGGTCATAAACATGGCGATGAAACAAAACATCAGTTAGCGTCTCCTTCCGACCAGCGCCAAGAACAGTCCAGGCAGGACGCGCGATCGTGTCATATCTCACGCTTCATCGCGATGCTATCATGACTGAAACTTTGGTTGACGATATCAGGGTGCTGAAACAGCCTCCGTGCTCTACGCGATTTGTGAAATGACCTCTGGTTTTTCCTTCAAATGACGAACCACCATCGTGGACGCCACCTCCCCTCGCGCTTCGTAATGAAGCCGACCGTATTCCGGCATGGTAAACATATCCCAATTCTAGGTCTTTGGCAAAGCCATGAAACCGCCTGATACGCCGCTGGGGGCTCTGCATTGAAAAGCATGGAGCTCACGTATACAAGACTATCGGTGGTATGTGTATGCCAATGAATACGCTGCATACAGGCAAATGGAGTTTACTTTAAAATGCGCTCACTCGTGCCTGCCGACTTTGTGTCATATGAGACCATCAGAATCGGAGCCGACTAGTTGTATACTCGACGAGGCTGATTTTGTGGCGGGCGTGCAGCACAGCCCCAGTAGGCGCCTGTTACCCGCCGGAGTCTAAGCAAGCAGACCATTACGGAAGACGGGCTACGCCTCTCAGGCAGCGCAGCCAGACGAGACGGGCGACACATTCGGTATTACAAACATCCGATCCATCTGCAAAAGCTGTTCAGACAGACACGGTCTTCTTGCACCGGAGAGAAGATCGAGAATAAGTTAACAGTCACACATCTGGAAGATCATCGCCACACGTCACATCATCATCATCATCATCACACATCACACATCTCACACATCTGGTTCGCCGCATGTTCTTGATGCCACCGCCCGGTAGGAATGCGAGGTGTTAACCCATCCAACCATGTCTCACAACTTATTTTACAACCATGCCTCGCTCGTTTTCATCTCGCGTCACGGCTGATCACCGACGGGCGTGTTCCGTTGCAAGGCACCTAACACCGCAGACGGTGCACATGTGTTCACACACTGGCGCACTGCCAGAGCTCCTGGCTTCCACCAGCCGCACAGGGCGGGTAGGAAGCACCCCCTCACCCAAACTGGCCTCTGTTCGGCCGCTCCCCACTCTCGAACTGAGCAGTGTTTTTATCAGGCTCTTATCGACTTGGAAGACTACCCTCATGAATCCAACGAATGTCTTGAACTGGCATTCGCCTGACTTACAACAGCTGAGAGCAGACCACGCCCGGCCAGGCCAGGCCTGCCGTTAACCAGCTCTCGTCTGACTTACGACAGCTGAGAGCAGACCACGCCCGGCCAGGCCAGGCGTGCCGTTAACCAGCTCTCGTCTGACTTACGACAGCTGAGAGCAGACCACGCCCGGCCAAGCCAGGCCTGCCGTTAACCAGCTCTCGTCTGACTTACGACAGCTGAGAGCAGACTACGCCCGGCCAGGCCAGGCCTGTCGTTAACCAGCCCTCGTCTGACTTGCGACAGCTGAGAGCAGACACGCCCGGCCACGCCAGGCCTGCCTTTAACCAGCTCTCGTCTGACTCCAACACTGGCCAATTATCAAACCCACGGTACGTCCGCCACAGCTTCGTCCCACCTCCAGCCTCGTTGGAGCCGGCCGATGCCTTCATCGGGCTCTCATCCGTCTTGCCCCGGTCAGCCCTCAGCCCCAGACAGGCCTCAGCCCCGGTCAGCACCTCAGCCCGGCCAGGCCCCCAGTCTGAGCCAGCCCTCAGCCCCAGCCGCCCTCAGCCTCAGTCCTCCCTGAGCTTCAGTGAGCCCCCAGCCCGACCGTCAGCCGCGCATCAGCACGCCTGCCAGCCGCGCATCAGCACGCCTGCCTGCCGCGCATCAGCACGCCTGCCAGCCGCGCATCAGCACGCCTGCCTGCCGCGCATCAGCACGCCTGCCTGCCGTCCGCGCTTCCGGCGCGCGCCCGCGGGCGTGGCCGCAGGTCACATGTCACCGGCGGCCGGCCGGGGGATTGCCGCGACACGTGCGCACGTGACCGCCTCCGTCTGAGCGAGCGGCGCGCGGCCGGGCCGACAACGCTGGAGGCGCCAGCGCGTTCCGTCCGTGAGTGAGCCGGCACGCCTGACCGAGGCCGCTGGAGAATCTGATCGCAATCAGGCTATTCGCCGCCCGGCCACCTCACGCAGGGGTCACCTCGGCGCGCGGCAGACGGCCGGTGGGACCGCGCTCCATCGGAGAGCTATGCTGCAATGGCGGCTGAGGCGCCCCTTCAGTCGATAGCCGTATGACCGCGCTCCATCGGAGAGCTATGCTGCAATGGCAGCTGAGGCTCCCCTTCAGCCGATAGCCGTATGGCCGCGCTGCATCGGGGAGATATGCTGCAATGGCAGCTGAGGCGCCCCTTCAGTCGATAGCCGTATGACCGCGCTCCATCGGAGAGCTATGCTGCAATGGCAGCTGAGGCTCCCCTTCAGCCGATAGCCGTATGGCCGCGCTGCATCGGGGAGATATGCTGCAATGGCAGCTGAGGCGCCTCTTCAGCCGATAGCCGTATGACCGCGCTGCATCGGGGAGATATGCCGCAATGGCAGCTGAGGCGCCCTTTCAGCCGATAGCCGTATGACCGCGCTGCATCGGGGAGATATGCTGCAATGGCAGCTGAGGCGCCCCTTCAGCCAATAGCCGTATGACCGCGCTCCACCGGAGAGCTATGCTGCAATGGCAGCTGAGGCGCCCCTTCAGCCAATAGCCGTATGACCGCGCTCCATCGGAGAGCTATGCTTCAAAGGCAGCTGGGGCGCCTCTTCGGCCGATAGCCATATGCTACAGAAAAACGCCGACCAACGTTCAGAAGGCGTATCACCAATAGAATCTGAGAAACGGCAAAACACAATGGCAGTCGTCCGGCATTTGCCGTGTCGGCAGTCGGCGAACTTCACGAAAAGGTGATCTTCACGCCCGCTCCAAGGGCGCAGAAAGTAGTGCACGCCGCTCTGATGAGGAGTGCGGCGAGCGCGGCACGTGGCGAATTTCCGGACAAACGGCGTTGGCAGTCGGCGGCAGCGCATCGCTGCTCCCTGAGTGTCTGACGCGACACTGCCGGCTGGACCGCGAGCGAGGGAGCCGGTCCGATCAAGTTCGGGGGCATCGCACCAGTTCAGTTTAACTGATATGCACGATCGGCGAAGTTATTGCAGCTCTCAGCCGAGCCAGTCCGGAGAGCATCGAAAGTTTCTCGTCTGAGGACAGGCACTCAGAGTGAACGCTGGTTCATCCGAATATTCATCACCCGGCCCTCTCGCGGGCCCAGAACCTGAGGCCACCTGACATGACCTGACTGGCAGCAGCACCAATCTCGTCGGGCGGTCAGGGGTATGCAACATTCGCCAAACTCCGTGCTGGCCGTCAGCAATGATCAAAAACTCGTCAGGAACCCACCCTGGTTAGGCCCACAAAGTCCCAGCCGGCTACAGAGGCGCCCACACAGTCCCAGCCGTCTACAGAGGCGCCTCACACAGCGCAGCCGGCTACAAACGCAGCGCCTGAGGCTTTGCGCCGGTATCAAGCTCGGGCGTGCACGTGTTTGGCCGGCAACGCCGCCGCGCCGCCACCTGGCCCTAGCCAGCGCCGCGGCCCGACGGGGCCTCCCGCTCTGCACCAGATCCCCTCCCCCTCCCCGACCATAATCGGCCCCTGTCCGTCGCCGCCATCGCGCCGGACGGTTCTGCCAGTCACCGGCAGCTGCCGTCGGATCACCGCCGGCCGGTCGTGATCCTTGCGGCCGAGCACGCCGACACCCGGCGCCTCGGTGAGTGACATTTGCAATCAGACACCGAAGTTAACGTTTCGGATTCAGGATGAGCTAAATCTGTTGAAATGTGGAGCACTCACGGACAGTGCTGCAGGTGAGCGATTCCCGAAGAACGGATGATCACTTCAGACATTAACCGTGGCTGGCACTGTCCGTGCCCCTGACTCACTGTCAGGGGCGGCGCACATGCCCCTCACCCACTGTCAGGGGTGGTGTCCGTGCCCAACTCATTGTCAGGGGTGGTGTCCGCACCCGACTCACTATCAAGGGTTGTGTCCGTGCCCCCAGGGGCGATATCCGTGCCCTTGACTCACTATCAGGGGCGGTGCCCGTACCCGACTCACTGTCACGGGCGGTTGTCCGTACCCGACTCACTGTCACGGGCGGTGTCCGTACCCGACTCACTGTCACGGGCGGTGTCCGTACCCGACTCACTGTCACGGGCGGTGTCCGTGCCCGACTCACTGTCACGGGCGGTGTCCGTACCCGACTCACTGTCACGGGCGGTGTCCGTGCCCGACTCACTGTCACGGGCGGTGTCAGTGCCCAATTCGCTCACCGTCAGAGACAGGCCAAACATAGCATACACGTGGGAATGCGGATGGAAAGTGTGTCACCATCTTGCGTCATTCATGCAAGAGCCAATAGTTTATCCACATGGCCCGGTTTCTGGTAAGGCTGGAGCATCCATATGACTATTAGTCCAATCTCATGGTGTGGTTCAGGAAGTATATCATGCAGACCCTGTGGGCGTCGGAATCACACCAAGCGGCAAGATAGCAAATGTCACTGATGTGCACGGTCTAACTTGGAACGCTCAAGGCGAAAAATGTCATGTTATTGAGCAAGCGCGAGGTCTGCTCCTAGAGCAGGCCATTTATATCACGGTGGTTTGAAGGGATCTGAACATAAAGCTAAGTTCAACTGACACAGAAAGCCACAGAGATCGATTAGAGCGAGAAGACAAATTGAGATATCATGGATTAATTTTCTTGGGTAGATGTGTAGAGACCCCTTCCCACTTCCAGCGGTCTACTTGAGCAATAAATACCCATGTCAACGGTCTAGAGGACTATGTTGGTTGATGAAGCGATGTTGCACAACAATTCAAGTATATCCCGTATTGATGCTGATAGGCTAGGCGACCAGTCTTGTTCATACGGAGATAGAATTGCATGATGATGAGCGCAGACATGGATTTCATCAGCGCAGGCCGGGCCCTGATCTAATAACACGCTGCTTCATAACAAAGGCTATGCCAATCTCGCCATATACTGAACTAGCAAAACAGCTAGCACGATAGCGCCGGTGAGACAGCAAAGCCGGCGTTTATTGAATTTGTGTTAAGCAAAACAAGGGTGCCGACTGAAAAAATGTGTAAGCAGACTGCAAGTAATTCCATTTTGAAACAAACAAAATAATCGCACAGCGGTGTGTGCAGGGCTCGAGACCCACATCGTGTTTACGATACCAAAAACGTGTTCGATGCTCAAATCATGTTTACAATCCTAAAAACGTGCTCGGGGCTCAACTTGTTTATATGAAAACCAGTGCGCTCATGAACCAGCGCCAGCGGGGAAGGGCTGGACGAGCTCAAAACAAACCGAGACAAAACAGCAATGGTACACTCAGGGGCTACTTAGGTAGAAGGTGAAAATCTCACGCAGTATTTCTGTCCGAGCACTACACGTGGGGTAGCACACACAACGGCAAGTCCGTTAGACCTGAACGAGACGGACATATAAGTGAAACAGCAGTAACACTCACTAAAGCACCACGCACCTTAAGTATATGTATGCATCAAGGCAAAGAAAAACTGCGCTTAAGCAAGTTTCTCACTTGACGAAAATCTTCGGTTACGTGAGGAAGATAAGACGTCCGTAAGAATGCACAAAAGAAGAATGCATGTATATATTAGATAAAAAGGCACTTAACAAAGTGCCTAGGACATTTGGATTTGGTATGGGAATTCTATGGCTTTTTCTGGGAAGAAGTGCGGAAAACAGGTTAAGCGAAATGGTTACCGGACACAATACAGCTAGACAATATATATTCACACCACACAGGTGAGAGATATCAATGTTTGTTACGACAAATGAAATGAGATTTATAGACGTAGACGTAGAGACGTAGGCAAATACCAGACATCTGTCTGCTGTACGTTATAACATAGTAATAGCCAGCGTGCCAGGCCATATTGTCCTCGAAATTGCGCATACAAGCCAACCACGATTTATCCAAACAAGACACGCGGGGACAGCGTAACGCTGAAATGAGACATAATTGACCAACGCAGAAGATATGGTGATGCACTACTCCCAGCCGTAGATACCAAGCGAATCTCACTGAATTGAACATGACTTTTATTATGTCCTCGCGGGAAGAAATAAATTTTGGGGAAAGCTTTAAATACTACGTTATACTGTTATAGAGCGGGGGCAGCACTGGCCGTTTTTTGACAAATCACAGAGGTCATTTTGGCTCCCTTGCTCCACAACCATTTTCAAGAGACATCCATTGAGCTGAATACCAAGTATTTAGCATCAGAACTAGAACAGCAAAAATCAGCAGTTCAAGTTTTCACGGAATTAAGGAAAGGCAACACGGAAGCGAAAACCAGCCGGTCTGCCGATGGCCAAGCCTTTTTCTGACGGAACGGATATCGGTGAAAAAAGCACTGCACATGCTACCAAGGTCTAAGGCCGTATAGGGACTTGAGCTCAACTTGGGCAGACTGCCAAAGGCAGTGTCCATGCCCCTGACAGGCCGTTAGGGGCGGTGTCCGCCCTCCTGCCGGCAGTGGGGGCGGTGTGCGCACTTCTGGTAATGTCGGGGTGGTCCGCGTCTCTAACAGGCCGCCAGGGCGGTGACCGCCCCCTGCTGACAGCCAGGGGGGTTGTCCGTCCCTTGCCGGCAGTCAGGGACGGTGTCTGCCCCCTGCCGACAGTCAGGGGCGGTGTCCGCCCCTGACTGTCGGTCAGCGGACGGTGTCCGCGTCCCCTGACCGACTGACGGTGCGCGACGGCGGCTGCATCCCCACTGACCGTGCGCGGCGTTGCTGATGCAGTCCAGGTACTCGGTGCTGGTGTCGTCGTACATGTACTGCTTGGAGGCCCGCGTCAGCCGCAAGCTTTGGCCGTAGTGCAGTTTGCAGCTGCAGCGAAGCCGAGGCCCGGGCGTCAGCTGGGCGATCGCCAATACAGACGACACGCGAACACATTCCGACACTCAGGGCAGTGTCGCCAATGGTGAGCCAATGATGAGACACCGACCGCCACAGCGATGAGCCACTGATGAGCCACAGACCGCCAAACTGATAAGCCAGTGATGATTCGCAGATCATCACACTGATGAGCCACTGATGAGCCACAGACCACCACACTGATGAGCCACTGATGAGCCTATGAGGAGACACCGAACGCCACACAGATGAGCCACTGATGAGCCACAGACCACCAAACTGATAGGCCAGTGATGAGTGGCAGATCACCATACTGATGAGTCACTGATTAGCCACAGACCGCCACACTGATGAGCCACTGATGAGCCACAGACCACCACGCTTATGAGCCTCTGATGAGCCACAGACCACCACAATGATGAGCCACTGATAAGCCATAGGCCACTAAACTGATAAACCTCTGATGAGCCACAGACCACCACACTGACGAGCCACAAATGCCACACTGATGAGCCACTGATGGGCCACTGGTCACCATACTGACGAGTCACTGATGAACCACAGACCATCAAAATGATGGGCCATAGACCACCACAATGAGCCATTGACGAGCCACTGATGAGCGCGACAATACAGATCACCACAGAGCACCTACAGAACACCTACACAGATGGCGCACAGGAAGTGCGTCACACTATGCTGTAACGCAGACCGCCACACAGCCCAACAGCACAGGCCTTCACAGAGCACAACTCCTGCAAAGTTCGACACAGAGCAGAGCAGGGCGGACTGTCACAGATTGCGTCAGCTCTTTAATCATTCTGTCCGAAACTTCCGATCTAATGGATCTCAGTGAACAGCTCCCACGCGCAGCAGTGCCTGTTGCGTGAACCCTGACCGCAGCACCCGATCGATAAATTCTAGGACTATGGCAGAATTTTACAGCGAAATCTTAACGAGCACCAGCGCTCGGCGCGGACTTTCCTGCCCTCTGACGTCATATGACCTTAAGCGCGATAGCACCACCGGTCAGGGGCCGGTGGCCGTGATGGAAAGGGGCAAACGGAGAGTGCCGAGTGACTCGAACCCTCTCCGCAACGGGCGGGTTGGTTCGAATGCAGGCGCTCTTACCAACTGCGGGATCTGAATATGGGGACGAACACTGACCATAACATAGCCACAGAGCGCAGCCCCAACACACGACCGTCACACAGCGGGACACCGACCGCCACAGGGGACAGACCCAACACACGGCCGTTAAACAGCTTACTGCGGACCATCGCAGAGCACAGCCCCAACACACGACCGTCACACAGCTTAGTGCGGACAATCACAGAGCACAGCCCCAACGCACGACCGTCACACAGCTTATTGCGGACCATCACAAAGCACAGCCACAACGCACGACCGTCACACAGCTTAGTGCGGACCATCGCAGAGCACAGCCCCAACACACGACCGTCACACAGCTTAGTGCGGACCACCACAGGGCACAGCCCCAACACGCAAACAAAACAACATATAGCACAACACCAACAAACACCGCCACGAAGCGTAAAGCAACACAGACCGCTACGCACTGCGGCACCAACTTGGACCGCAGCAAATCGCTTGCGGTCCAAGTTGGTGCAATGACGCAACAGCGCGGATATCACGCAACTTAACACCAATGTAGATCGGCACACAGCGCTAAGTCAACATAGCTCGGCACACAGCGCAACACCAACACAGACTGGCACAAAGCGCAACACCAACACAGACCGACACACAGCGCAACACCAGCACGGACCTTCAAACAGTGCAACACCAACACAGACCGGCGCACAGCGCAACACCAATACGGCCCGACGCATGGCGCAACACCAACACAGACCGGCGCTGCACGCCGGTCTGTGTTGATGTTGTGCAAGCAGGCTCCACACAACGCAGCATCGGTGGAGACCGCCGAGCAGAGGACAGACGAGACGTCGCACTACCAGCCAGAGGAAACTATACAAAACAGGGCCGACACATCGCCACACAGAGCAACATCAAAATACACCGCCACAGGGAGCAGCAGCACCAGCCGCCGCACGGCGCCACACCGACACATTACCATTTCGCCTGCTCTGCGCTGGCTGCCATAACCCGCTTAAACGCAGACCTTCGCCCTGTCTTCAGCCGGAGGCGAGTTCCCTGCGTCCCGGGGTGTGACTTTAGGTCCGCCGGCAAAAGCAAACAGTAGCCGGCCGTGTGGCGGTCGCCGGCTGGGAAGCCGCGTGCCGCGCCCCGCCATCGAACAGCGGTGTCGGGGCGGCGCCGTCGCAGCTGATGCAACCGCCACCGGGTTCACCGGCCCCCAGCCCCGAACACGTGCGGCCACGGCGCGCGGGGGCCGCCGTCGGCCGTGCGGCCTACGGCAATCCGGCCGCGGCCGACCCGACGCGACAATCCCGAGCGTCCACGTGCGCTCCGGCCGCGCCGCCGCCAGTAATCAGGTTAGACAAAGGGGGACGGATACGTGCATGCATGCAACTTACACATGGGTCACGTAGCACAGCCCCAATTAATCAAGAATTAACATCAACTTCTGTGCCGGCATAAAACGTTGATGCAGATACGTGGAGGGCTGCAGATAAGCTCCCTTCACGGCTCCTAGCACGTAATACGATGACGTGGTCGATTAAATGTCACCTAAGCTCTAATATCTATCCTTGATTTGGCAAAAAATTAGTGAACACAACCCACGATGCGCGCAAGCACGGCTCAAACACGAATATGCGAGTGCTATTCTAAACTGGTGTTCTCACCATCTACATCACTAAACACATATGTAAATAATTTGGATTATACATAACTCCAATAACTCTGGCGTCTTCTTCATAGCAAAACCGTTATCGGCAGTTATTCTTTAACCTGTGCATTTTTCTCGCTTCGTCCAAGGATCGACTCTTTGAGACGTATCATTCCACTGCAGCTGGAATTTCCCACCCACTGGCGTTAAGCTAGCGCTCGCGTCCGTATCCATCCCCCTCCCCAGTTGCATTACCCCCTGTGCCGGGCGCTGCCGTCGCCGCTGTGCCTCCAATGTTCCGCCGTCCGTCGTCCTGCACCCGCGGCGTTCACACAGCCATCTGTCATGTGTACTCAGCGTGCCGCGGACCCTCCGCCTGCGCGCCAAGGACCTCACAGGGTGCACGAGCGGAGTCCGGTCGGCGTCCATACCCGCCACGGTCCGGTCACCCGACAGCGCGTCTCGGGCAGTCCGCCGTCACCGTCCGGTCCTCCGACAGCGCGTCCAGGGCAGCCCACCGTCAAGGTCCGGTCCTCAGACAGCGCGTCCAGGGCAGCCCACCGTCAAGGTCCGGTCCTCAGACAGCGCGTCCAGGGCAGCCCACCGTCAAGGTCCGGTCCTCAGACAGCGCGTCTCGGGCAGTCCGCCGTCACCATCCGGTCCTCAGACAGCGCGTCTCGGGCAGTCCGCCGTCACCATCCGGTCCTCAGACAGCGCGTCTCGGGCAGTCCGCCGTCACCATCCGGTCCTCAGACAGCGCGTCCAGGGCAGTCCGCGGTGGCGACCCTCTGCGTCTCGTCACACGCGTCTCGAAACAGTGACGGTCCCTTAACCCCTGAGCACGTATCCCAGCGCAACGACGGAACTCTGGCTCGCTCAACACGTGTCCCCGGCAATAGCCGTTCCCAAGGTCCTCTGACCACGTGCACCAGCCAGCAACGCCCCTTGACATCTCCTGTTCACGTGTACCAGGCAGCAACGGCCCTTACGATCCCCCCGACCACATAACCGGGCCATAGCGGCCCTTTAGGATCCCATGACCACGTGACCCCAGACAGTTGTGGCACTCAGGGTCTCCTGGTAGAGGCACCCTTAGGATCTCCTGACGCCGTGTCACAGGCGGTAGCTGCCCGCAAGATCCCCTGATCAAGTGCCGAAGGCAGAGCCGGCCTCCAGAATCCCCCACACGTGTCCCAGACAGTCGCGGCCCTCAGGGCCTCCTGGTAGAGTCCCTTAGGATCACTTGACCACGTGCCGCAGGCGGAGCCAGCCTTTAGAATCCCAACCCGTATGCCAGACAGTGGGGCTCGTCTGCCGCCAGCGGTACTCACTTGGGTGCGTTCGACATGGTGCCGGTCGGCTGAGACGGCTCTGCAGAGTGCGGTCAGCGGCGGGTCAGCGGCGGGTCCGCCCCGTTGCCAGCTGGAAACGAGACGGGCGGGGCAGCAGTCAGACGAGGGCGACAGGGCACTGTCCTCCCACCACGTGAGGGCTGGCATGGTGCAGTGAGCACGGAAAGCTATATATAGGTGCACGAGCCATTTACACGGCGCTGCGTGACGTACGAAGGATGCGTTCAGTCGCGGATATGCTCCGGTTAAACCGGGCCTGAGAACGTAAAACTACAGCTTGCACTAAAAAAGTATACAGGCGCGAGCAAATGCACACAAAATGACATAACCGCTGATCTTATGAACGGAAGCGAAAGAGAACGTAAGCAATGTGCAATCACATAACAACGAAATTAACACTGATAAAGCATCTCATAGAGCATGCGATACACCATACCGAAGTTTCGGATCTAAGTACATGACGCAAGTGTGGCTCAAAAGAATGACAGCAACATTGTGGAGGGCATCTGCACAAACTTTGACGGTTTCCGAAAAGGTAAGCTGAGTTTTGCTAGCTTTGTTACAAAAGGTTGGCGCAAAACCAGGCACGCGCAGGAGGTCCTTCTGGTTCCATCCGATGACGTACGTTTTGCGGATCTGTGCTCGCGCCGCCCACAGGAGCGCAGTCAGTCATGGCAAAGGGGAGCACAGAGTTGAGAACGGGCCCGTTGATGGTGAAAGACCCCCCCTCCCAAAAAAAAAATCATCACCACATATTGTCAACTTGTCCGTGAGTATCACGGTTGTCTTGGATTTATATTATCGTCATCGTCTGTCACTGGAACAGAAGACAGCCACCGCAAGTTTAATTCCGTTTCGATTTTGAGGTCAATGACCTGAAGACATCAGGCGTTAATCGACTGCATGAAATAAATTGCTGACGCTCTTCATTTATATTGATCATTGGACTCTTTCTCAACTGATAGAACCCAGGAGCTTTGCCAGAACTCTGGCCTGGGTTCACATATACGCTGAGGACCCCGTGAACGCAGATTGTAGATAGAAATGGGTTTAACACTTATATAAACATGGTCATGTTTGCCAGGAAATGTTTCACGTTCAGTCAGAACCGATTAGTGAGAAAAACTACGCAACGTAGTTTCGATCATGCACGCCCGCCAAACGTCGTGACAAAACCTCGACGCCCGGTGTTGCAGTCTCCACGACTGCTCGGCGTTGGCCCTGAAGCGAGCACTAGTCGATAATGAGCGGGCGAAAATATGGTGGTGTAACTGGAAAAATGAAGATAAAATCCTTATTTTCCGTGTTCATAACCCGTCTAGAAGACAACCTCATATGTGTAATCACAAGAAAGCAAAAAAATACGCCCTAGCCTAACCTTTGAACGGCGCAGATTTATGTTGAACTTTCCGAAGTGTTTTCACGCCGGGCGTTTTTGCGCGCAGGGCACCCACTGCTTGGTGTTACTTGCAGTGGCCCACGCCGTTCGTTTTACGGGAACTGTAATCCAGCCATCGCTATTCTTGTTCCTGAACTTGCGAGCGCGCAGGCTCAAAACGTTTTATGTAATTTGCTTTACTAGTCGATTCTGCAAAAGAATTAACGCTTAAGCATACATGGGTGAGCCTTTTTCATTTTTGAACTCAGTTTGGCCCTCCCTATTCAACACTTACGGCACCCTTTACTCTTTCCGGGAAAGCCCCCTGAGTAGAACACGAAAGGGTCGCTCCCGGTCAAGGGCTGAGGGCGTATTTTGTCCCAGGGCGAGATGCCCTCCGGCTGCCATTCTGGCGACACGGGGCGGGGCCCCTTGGTCGATCCAGAGGCCTTTAGAATGATCCATGGCATCACACTGATCCCTCCCATGACGCGGAATGCCTTTGGGCCCGCGCAGTAGGCTCCGGATCGACGCAGGAGGCCTCAATCATGCAGCAAGGTCGCTGATCGCCGCAGGCAGTCTAACCGTCGGCACACAGACTTCATGTGGCTTAACGGGCCATGACTGGAATTGGATTGGAAGACCCAACGTTCGGTGGCGGCGGCCCTGACTCACACGAGGCTTTCACATCAGCTTAATGTGAACTCTCGCCGTAAGTTCTCCGGTTAATGCGACCTCTCGCCGTAAGTCCTCCGGTTAATGTGACCTCTCACCGTAAGTTCTCCGGTTAATGTGACCTCTCGCCGTAAGTTCTCCGGTTAATGTGACCTCTCGCCGTAAGTCCTCCGGTTAATGTGACCTCTCGCCGTAAGTTCTCCGGTTAATGTGACCTCTCGCCGAAGTCCCCCGGTTAATGTGAACTCTCGCCGTAAGTCCTCCGGTTAATGTGACCTCTCGCCGTGAGTTCTCAGGTTAATGTGACCTCTCGTCGTAAGTTCTCCGGTTAATGTGACCTCTCGCCGTAAGTTCTCCGGTTAATGTGAACTCTCGCCGTAAGTCCTCGGGTTAATGTGACCTCTCGCCGTAAGTCCTCCGGTTAATGTGACCTCTCGCCGTAAGTTCTCCGGTTAATGTGACCTCTCGCCGTAAGTCCTCCGGTTAATGTGACCTCTCGCCGTAAGTTCTCCGGTTAATGTGACCTCTCGCCGAAGTCCTCCGGTTAATGTGAACTCTCGCCGTAAGTTCTCCGGTTAATGCGACCCTCTCGCCGTAAGTTCTCCGGTTAATGTGACCTCTCGCCGTAAGTCCTTCGGTTAAGGTGAACTCTCGCCGTAAGTTCTACGGTTAATGTGAACTCTTACCGTAAGTCCCCCGGTTAATGTGAGCTCTCGCCGTAAGTTCTCCGGTTAATGTGAACTCTCGCCGTAAGTTCTCCGGTTAATGTGACCTCTCGCGGTAAGTCCTCCGGTTAATGTGACCTCTCGCCGTAAGTTCTCCGGTTAATGTGAACTCTTGCCGTAAGTCCTCCGGTTAATGTGACCTCTCGCCGTAAGTCCTCCGGTTAATGTGACCTCTCGCCGTCTAACGACCCTCTCTCTCGACCTCTCGCCGACGCTGTAGAAATGTTGACGCGCTGAATCCATCTACAAATGGAAGAACGAAATGGCAAACAGATTCAATACTAACAGCCTAAAATCGCCATAAAAATGTCATTATTTGCCCAAATTCCCCGAGCTTGGCACACCGCTCAGGAGCACAATCGGCAAAATGGCTCTCTGACTGGCATTTGAGGGCCAGCGCCCGCGAGCCGGGCCCCTTAATACAGCCACCGGCCAACATTTCGGGCCTTTCATTCTCCCAACCGGGCCCCTGATCCTGGGTCTCGAGAGCCTGCGCGCCCCACTTTGCCCCCCTCCCCCAAACACGGCTCCTGGCGACTCAGGGCCACTTGCCGACTAAGGACCTGCCGTTAGGCACTACGCACTCCTGGCCAATGCTCCTCATTGTTCCAGGGACCCCAACCAGTGCAAATCGCGGGCCAGGCCCTGCTCGTGCTTGAGAAACGGACGCCCAAGGCTCATACCGACATGGACCCGACTGTTCGGTGTTGGTGGCTTCTGACAGAAATAACGGCCCACACTGTGCACGGATTCCCAATCGATGCTAGAGGCCCTCTAATGGACATTTCAGGCCAAGGCCCTACGGACAAGAGCCGTCACCGTGACCCACGTCCAGTCCCTCGGGCCCTTCAACCCCTTCAGCCTCCCAATTGGGTCCCTACAGTCGCTCCCGAGGCTCCCTTCGGCCCCTCTTTCGACCTCCCCAAGCAAAACCCGTGACCGACTCAGGGCCATTAACCGACACATGGCCCCCTTGTCACGCACAATGGGGCCCTGACTGACACAGGGGACTCGATCATTGTTTCATGAACCCAGACCAATACAAATTGCACGCCCTTGTCTTGTTCCCACTTGGAAAACAAGCTCCTGGTTCCAACCGACATGGAGCCAGCTGCTCGGTGTGTGTCCCGGCCGAAATAGACGTCCGCACTGTCTCCGGGGTCCTCAATCGGTGCAAGAGGCCAACTGACTGATGTCAGGTCACGGCCCGACGGACCAGGACCCTTCGTGTGACCTACAGTCAGCCCTCCAGGCCCTTATGCCCTCCAATCGGGCTCTTCGTCGTCAATATTCGGTGCCCCCCCCCCCCCCCCCCCGGCTCCTCTTCAGACCTCATTGAACACTGTCCATGGGTAAATTCGGGGCACCTTGTCAACACAGGACCCCTGCTGGGCACTGCGGGCCCCGGCGGGGCATCGCAGGCTCCGAGGGGCCCTACCTTGGAATTTTTTGGTCCCCTTGGAATTTAAGGGAACACATGCCGCCTGTGGCTCCTCCCCCCCCCCCCCCCCCCCCCCCGCCAACACCACCGGCCACTGTCGAGCACCTGATCGCCGTTACCAAGTCTGAGCGCCGTGCAGTCAGTGAAGCTAACGGTTTGAGTGTGATCGTAGATAAGCAGCAAACCAGGCAGCGTTAACCCCATGCTGTTGTTTGCGTTTACTGATTATGACAGAGCGATTGGTGACGCCGAAACACGACGACAGATGGACAAGTCAAACAGCAGAGATATCGCGCCCGTCCGCGACAGCCACGTGACGGTAGGCGACGGACACGAGCGCCGTTTCCGTCGAGTGACGGAGACAGGAGACGTGCCGGGTCTGATAGAGCAGATGATTACCGGGTACGCATCGAATGACCATCATCGGACCACGCAGCTCGCTCAGCCCTTTCGTCACGGACGACGACGGCGGAGAGAGGATGGCACGACAGTGAGATGCAAGGACTTCCAGGTTTGAAGGCAGGATGAACAGGGGGGTACTTCCATGGATCTGGGAAGTCGTAGTTGGTCAGACGTGTGCTCACGATGTGGGGAAAAGGTTCAGCGGCAACGTCCAGACACATCCAGCCCAAGACCGTCGGCCGTGGCCACAGTTACTAGACCCCCCTGGGCGCGAAACAGCGTCACTGGCCTGCGGCAGTGGTCACGGTCACGAGACCAGGCCCCTCCTGGGCACGAAACAGCGCCACTGGCCTGCGGCAGTGCCCACGGTCACGAGACCCTCCTGGGCACGAAACAGCGCCACTGGACGGCGGCCGTGGCCACGGTTACCAGACCCTCCTGGGCACGAAACAGCGTCACTGACCTGCGGCAGTGGTCACAGTCACGAGACTAGACCCCTCATGGGCACGAAACAGCGTCACTGGCCTGCGGCAGTGGTCACGATCATAAGACTAGGCCGGTCCCGGGCACGAAACAGCGCCACTGGCCTGCGGCAATGACCACAGTCATAAGACTAGGCCCCTCCTGGGCACGAAACAGCGCCACTGCCCTGCGGCAGTGGTCACGATCATAGGACTAGCCCCGTCCTGGGCACGAAACTGCGCTGCTGGCCTGTCATAGTGGGCTCCTCCTGCCATAATGGTGGCAGATCAGGAGACAATGACAGTGGTGCATGCCATGAAGCTGGGCAGGGGACAGGCTGTGGTACACAACAATGTTGTGTACACATCGCACAAAGTTGCAGACATTCATATGGATGCCATTCACCTGCCAGGCCAGAGGCATGTGAATGGCATCTTGCAGCTCAGTCGAGGCAGCAAAATACAAGACTTTGGTTGTGATAGCATGATAAAATGAGCCACGGCACAGGGATATAGAAAATCACCCATGGCTGCTATACTTTCTTATCATTCATGTAACAGCATTGTTTTTGCCATTTATTTCCTATTAATGGGTGCAACAAGCATGATTTCTGTGCTGTTCCATCTGCAATATATATGGCAGATAAGTGTGGCATTATGTGCACTGGCGCACCACAAAATATGGCAATACTTTTGTGCAAGGTCATACAGCACCATCCTTTAAGACAACTGTGCAGGGAGGATGACATTTGTTTATTCTGAAGCTATTGGAGTTTATGCATCTTTCACAAATAGTTAGACCTCATTCCACAAAAAACAAGGTTGAAAAGGATTAAGGTATGACATGTGGTTTGAAATCTTTGCAAGAACACAATTTACTTTAGCATGACCTGAAGACAAAACTTCACAATCAACCCCAATTTATAATTCCTAAGAGCACAAATAGCCACTACCAGACCTGCAACTAATGAAAACAGGAAAATTTTTATCATGGCCTGTTGCCCAGGCTTACTGGACAGAAATCATTGTTACTTATTTGTTAGGTTCAAAATTTAGGATAATCAACTATTTGGGCACCACAGCAAAAGGCTGCCAAGTTACATAAGGTATCAGCTACCTTGTCATATAACAACCAATATGTCACATAATGTCATAATGTCACATAACCAATCTTCTCAATAGGATCAGGTAATTCTAAAAATTATTCATGAGTTGTGTTAAAAACTGTGCCATTTCCTTTGAGCCAACTTGCTATCTTTCTTCCTACCAGGGGCTTCTGCTCCACACCACAATAATGTTATGAGGTTTGTGAGTGGGACCCAAGACAAACATGAGCAAAGGTAGGCTCTTAAGAAACACTGCATAATGGTGCTTACAAGTACAGCATAAGTTGTGCCACATTATTACTGCCAAAGTGTGTAGATGGTGAATTAGCACTGATAAAACATGAGGCATGAGGAATTCATTGTGGCTAAAAGGCTGCTTTTCAAAACATCACATTTTTCTACCCTCTCTGAGAACAATCAATGTGAATTCTCTTTGCGCAGGCACAATCCTGTTTAGGAGCAAAGTTCAACAGAGCTTACCTAGGTCAGTACGCGGCATACCTAGTGCTATCAGTGCCCACCTGCTGAAGTGAGGTAACAGGCAGCAACCGGACGGGCCACAAATCGCAGTGGGTGCTTACCTTCGTTCTATATTGTTGCAGCCCCGGCCGGCATTGGCGAGGTGTATCTCGGTTGGTTGGTGATCATACGGCGCACGGCGCAAATTCTGAAGTCACCAGTAACGCCGGGATGACGATCAGGTGCAAACGTGGGCACAACCTAAATCACGCCACGATACACCCACCCGCGCGACCACCACGGGGAGAACGGGCTCGTACGTGCGCAGCAATCCGCGTTCACAGAGCCGTGCACCCCACACCCCCGCGCCCGGCGCCCCCCGCAACCAATGCCGACTCATGCCGACTAAGTTCGGATCGGCGGCAGAAGTCATCCAATGGCCTTGAGCACATCCCCGTCAGCTAAGATGCGACGCGGTGATTGGCGGATAATTGGCGGGGAGCGATTTGCTACTACACTATGCTGCACTACTCCCACAGTTTGCTGCCAAATCACATTTGCGTAAATATCCCGCAGGGTTGGCAGGACCTGGTGGAAACAATTTAATCGAATCAATTTTCCCATTATAAGGGCATGTAGAAATTAGGAGCGCCAACACCAGCAGCTACAGCAAAAGCTGATCTAATACGGAACGTGTGAGCCTACGGGATGCATTAGAAATGCAGATGAACTATTGAGAATTGCTCGTGCTGGCAAGGTATTCATGTTAAAGAATACATGAAAGCTCACAACTGTAAGGGAATCATTTAAAAGTGCATGAAAAAGGTGGCTGACTGCGGCCAAAATTGTTGCTTATCCACCCTTGTGACAGGAGCGTGCCAAGGGGATGGCTCAGCAGTTGCGGATCCAGAGGGACGGGGAGGGGGGGGGCACGGAACCCTGTACCCCTCGTGCCATGAGGGGAGCCACCGGCTCTGAATGAGACCATAGCCGGCAGAACAGACGCAATTTTTATTAAACAAACCACAACACAATTTGCCGTCTTTGGGGCCCCAGACGATCAACAACAGTCGCAAGCGGACACGGAGAGCCCGTGAGCAAAGTCAACTATTTGCTGGTTGAGAAGATGGTGATTGGCGCAGATTGTGAGGCTCATTACGCTGTTCAGAGGCCCTACGCTGGTGCCGGGGGCCCTATATGCTCACTTGCGGGGTTGGTCCGATCGCTGAGGAGCCTGCCACGTTGCCCTTGATCTGTTTGCATTGTCTTGGAGGTCCCCACGCTGCTATTGGGGCGCTACCTGCTTATGTGCCTGGGAACTCTTGATCGATCAGGCGCCATTCACGGATTCCTCCCATCCGCCCGAAAGGCTCTGTGCGCTAAAGCCGAGGTCCCCACATACCACGCACACCCGGTTGCTCAGTGGCCCTTTATATTGGTCCCGCGTTATTTCCTCTTGTTCGGAGGGCCTTGTGCTGTTGCTGGGGCCTATATAAGGTAAGGCCCCGAGTCACGTGATGCTCAGTGGTCCTCCTCATTGATCTAGGGCTCTTTCCCTTTGAGCTCATTTGTGGAAGACCCTCTATTCTTATCGAGGTCTTTTCTGTTAACCTTTGATCGCACAGGGGCATTTAATCATGTACACTGGTTTCGTGTAATTTCCCTTTTGTTTAAAGGGACATGTGCTCTGGTCGGGGGTACTATATGTTAGCCGTCCCATATGTTAACCGTCCTTTATGTTAGGGTCACTCCCGATCGTTCATGGGCCCACCACGTTGGTCTCGGCTTCTTCTCCCTTACTCGCAGGACCCTAAACTGTTAACGAGAGCCTCTTCGTCGCCTCTAAGCACCCTCTATCGCTCAGTTCCCGTCCCCATTGGCCTTCGGTTTTCCCACATTATCCGGGGCCCGCCGCTGACGGGGCTTAAACCTTTATCGGCCGGGGAACTGTTGATCGCTCCGGGGCTTCCAATATTGGTCGGGAGCACTTCTGATGAGGTCAGAAGAGCCATACTCCGTTGCCGAAAACCTCACGTGTACTTACAAGTGTCATGACGTTTCACCTGCTTGTGTGCACAGGCCTGGCTAAATTACGTCATGTGCAGAAGTCCGAGACAAGAGGATGCCGATTTATCTTGGCGACGTAGCCTTAGAGCAGTAGTCGCATCTACGCCAATGAATTTTACACGCAATTGTCGAGCACAATTTTATGCGCCGCCGACGTCATTCATGTTAAACGGTGGATGACTGCTTTTTCAGGCATCCCGTATGTGGTTTATCCCCAAGTTCTGCCACATCCTTTAGAGAGGAGTTCTCTAGAAAACTGTCGGCCATTTTGCGCACACTTTTGTTTATTGCTTTGTGCTCCAGGTCAAACGGCTCTACAAACATCTTCAGTCTGGAACGGGAATTCTGCATACATGTAATAACATAACAAATTAACATATTCCGTTCGTAATGACGGCAAACGGCTTGCAACTCACTCGCCGCAAATCGGAACGGCACGTTAACGGTTCTTCCTTTTTCATCGACAAATTTCAACAGATTCTTTTCATTTAGCATTTCCTGTAGGCGCTTGCTGAAAGCGGCAAAACTGCACGTTTTTATTCCCCGACCTCCCGGCAAGGAGAACGCACACGTACTTATCCTCTCACGGGTCCCGGCCTGCCTTACTTGGAGACGGCGTCGAATTAGACGCGGCTGTATCGAAATCCTTGCGTGCGGTTCCAGGCACGCTGAGCCAGCACTTTGCTCCGTCTACAGATTGGATCCGAAAAAAGTAATGCATCTTAAGACCAGTTGTTCGTTTCTTCGCATGCTGAGCTTCAGCTCAACTTTATGTAATGGTCATCGTTTTGCTGTGAGGACGTAAAGCGAGTGATGTGCCGCCTGCGCGATTCGTGAGGGACGACAGGCACGTAAGATCGATTAATCCGTCATTGACTGGGTTCCTCAGCAGCACGCCATTGGCCGGCGGGAGGGGGGGGGGGGCTAGATTTGACCCCTTGCCCACCTCAAGTTTTAATTTAAAAAAATAAAAACGCTATTGGCCGGGCCGAATTGAAAGATTCAAATTGCTATCAATGGCGCCGTGGCGTGCGGTCTTAGACTACACAACAGACTTAAGTTTATGTGTATTAAGGTCACAGGTCAAGGTCAGATTATAAAAAATGTTACTTTGTGTGTGCGTGCTGTGGGTCAAATGCATTCGTTAATTGGTATCCGTGCCTCTAGAAATCACTGCTCTGGCCGCGCCTCGCCAAGCATTGCGAGATGCGCTGCCGAGGGATGGACCTGTAAAATCAAACGACGAATTTGTTGTACTGGTGGCTGCTAGCCTCCTACCAGCGGTATCGATTGCACACAGTTATAATCTTCGGGTTTGATTGCAAATATTTTCCTGGGCCATCGCAATATCACCATCACTCTTCGGAATATCTGGCCGCTTCCACAAGGCAGTTTCGTTTAGAGGCGCATCTCATAGTGCGAAATAATTGCGCCCTGATCAAACACGGTATATATGAAGACATCCAATGCTACGAGAGCCGCACTGGGCCCAGAGCGAAGATCACCTGCCGTGTAAATGAGAACTGAAACCTTGGTCTGTACGATATGTCCTTTTTGGTCTATTATTTTCGTCATATTTGGGTGATCGAGACGTGAAATGAAAGAGCTTAGCCGCAATTATCGATATGAGACATGTGGGTAAGAGCTGTTACTTGCTTATCAACCGCCTAAAGTAAGGGTGAAATGGATGATCGCGGTGGTGAATAACCTGATGAATGTATTTTCGCGTTGCTTTCGACGGTTCAGTCCTACTGACAGCGCGACTTGATGCCGCTCATCCCCGCCGCCAGTCGCGTGGTCGCCGGCTGACGCGTGAAACTGATGAACGGCCTCCGCGGCCCCGTCACCGCGCCACTGCGGCAGGCCTGAGCCCCGCTACCCGCCGCCGGGCACGGACAACGTGCGCTGTGATGCATATCAAGCTATAATTTCGTCAGTGTTACAGATAACTGCTTGAAGCATGGTACATGTATCCTTTATGGTCATACCTAGGACATGTGTTTTCATGTCTTCATCTCTTTGAGCCCGAGGCGAAAAAAATGCTGAGCTTTTTTAAAACATTTTTTTTTGTTTTTGACATGCCAGCATTTCAACGCGCAATACTGAAGCAAGGCAAGGGCAGAGTATATGCATGATGGACTGGTTTTATCACATTTCTCGTTTAAAGATGTAAAGTATATTTTTTCCTTCGGATTCTATATGAATTGGTCCAACGGCTATGCGCCTTTGTCAAAAGTCTGAGCCATCATGAAAAGTTCACCCTAATGCCCATCACGCTTGATCATCGAGTCTCACGTTTTTTTTTGACGCGACACGTACAATTTATCAATTAAGAGTCCATTATGCAGCATATCTCGATGTATTTTTTTTGTTAGATTAGGTCAAGGGGGCAGACTTGATCCCCATCCCCGGGCAATTCCGGGTTAACACACATTTTTCATTCAGGCATTGTTTAGCGCTAGCGGTGGACCTATTATTTTGAACGGCGAATTTGTTGCGCTGGTAGCTGCTAGCACTCTGCCAGCGTTATCGATCGCACACAGCTGCAATCTTCCGGTTTGATGATAAGCATTTTCCCGAGCTGCCGTATTATTGTCATGATACTTGGGGGGGCAAGCCGCAGTCAGCTTTGCTCCGTCAATGGACTATTTGAGCAAAACGGTCACCTCGACCGATCATAGACTTACATCGATAGGCCATAGTGCTCCGACATGTGCAGCGCAAAACGTGACTCGTGACTGAAACTTGCACAGCCTGCACAATATTGGTTGAGATCCAATCAACGACCGGCATGCCTGGAAGTCGTGCTCACGAGCGCCAGATATGAATGGCTCGACGGCTATGTTTTTGTTGGCTTTGAACGATACAAGGGCAATGAAGTGGCAGGATTTAAATGCCGTTTCAGTGTCGTTATGCATACCTCAACGACTTTGAAATATTCTGCACATCTTCGCGGGTGTTTACCTAAAAAAACTAAAGGGTTTGGGGTCTCAAGAAGGGAAGGCCGGGAATTGCATCAAGTGTTCCTCAAAATGGCTATTTCGGTTCCAAACACGACGCAAATATGGATCACTTCCTTTAGCAATATACATCGATTCGTTGCATGCTTCAAAACGGCTTATGGCCCAGTCATCAAAATTACCTGTAGCATCCGTGACAGCTAAAGTTATTCAACACTCGTAGTATACACTCGCCAGGTAAGTGCTACCGCTGCTGAGTTTTTTTCTCACCAGTACAAAAAAAC